CAAAAGACAGGAGCTGTGGAAATGAACAAGGAGCTTACAGCCAACACAGAATGAATAAATATTAAAGATTTAGCAGAATTATTTAAAGTGGAACAACTTGCAAAGTAGACCATTATGGCAATGATGAGCAGTTTATATGCTCTATAGTGAATTATTTATTTTATTTTATTTTATTCTCAGAGAAAATGCATTGTATTACAGTAGTATGACCACAATACATGGAACTCACCAGGATCCCATTGGTGATATTCTGAGACATCTAGTTTTCAACCTAGTCATGAATGATTTGGAAGATGGGGTGAATGATGAGGTGACTAACGTTGGTGTTGATACATAATGATCTGTGGTCATCAAACTGACTGTGAACAGCTGCAGAAAGATATCATGGTATTGAGTGACTGGGTAAAAATATGGCAGATGGGATGCCCTAGAAACAAGTCCAAAATAATGCATATACAAAAATCATGTGCCACTGTATATAACTGCTGTGTCCAATTCTGCATCTGCTTCTATATACCCCCACACCTCAGAAGAGTTGCAGAAGAGATGGAATAGTGGGGAAAAGAGCAGAAAAGATGATCAGGTGTATGAAAGATCTTCTTTATGTGGAGATACTAAATAATCTAGGACACTGCCTGTGAGAGTCACTTAAAACGGAAAAATATGATCCAACCCTAAGATCATAGATGTTGAGAAGAAAATGCATACAGTGTTTTCCCTTTATGTTAGTTGTTTGTATGATGTGTGTACCCATTATTATCCATAACATAAAAAGTAGGAACCACAACTGAAACCAGCAGCTTTAGAAAAAAGTGAAAGTGTTTGTTCTCAAGAGACATAGCCTTACCAATGACTTGGTATGTCAAAAGTATAAATGAGTTCAAAACAACATTAGATGTATTCATGAAAGAAAGGCCTATTGGGACATATTAAACACAAAGACAGAAACACAATACCCAGCTCAGGAAATCCCTGAAGGGCAGGTTTTTAGGCCTGGTATGCTACTCCAGAGGCAACATCTCTGCACTTGCCCCACTGCCACCCTCATTCCTGGGCTCCTGTTACTGACCACAGTCAGACACAGTTGCACTTACATTACACCAGCGATGAAAGCCTCATCTATATTTGTATACCTCTGAGGAACTTATTTATAATTCTAAGTGCAACTAAAAAGTTAGATATTTTTACATAGTCAACTCCAGATTTCTTATTGTAATGTCAACTATTTATTGTATCCATCAACTTTTAATAACGATAATTGTAGTTTATTCCTCTGCTTTAGTAAATACCTTCCCAAGCTTTCCAAGTCCGTGAATGCAGACACATGGCTTACACAAGTAAGCCAAGAGTGGACACGCTTGGTTGCCTGGCTGTTTAATTAGAAACTGAAACGAAAGGCATCCTGCCGCAGGGAGACAACCAGGCTGCAGACTGTGACACTGCCATAGCCTTGCTCTATCTCTCTTTAGCCTTAAGCAAATCTGATCTTGGGCATCCTGACCCTCTCTAATTGCATACTGTTTCCTGTGATGCTGAGAAGCTCCTTCCACCCATTGCAGGACTGTTAAGCTCCTCTTCTCTAGCTGATAATTAAGCAGCAGAATGCCAAACTTTTTGTTGTTGTTGTTCCTGTTGGTTTTTGTTTTTTTGCATCCTTCTTCCCTCCTCCTTCCCAATCCCCTGCTATACAAAGGCCAGCTGGATGCTTCGTTTGTCATTTTGTCACACTGTTCAGAGGCAAAGATGTCATATCACCTTTCAGAAGACAGGGAAGGTGATAAATGCACTAACTTGAGAGACAAAGTGTCAGGACACTAATGAAAATCTCTAGTGACTAGACAGCGCAAGGAGAACCTCATTTTAAGTGAGTCTGTAAAGAAAAGACAACTTTATCAGCCTATGCAAATGTCAAGCCTGAAGTACACTGGTTTAATGTGGCAGAATATTTTTCTGTCAGGAACAACGTGCATTATACTGAGTTATTTTCAAATAACTATGTAAACAAATTAAAATGTCATGCATAAAATAAATGAAATGCTTGTCTCTTCTAGCTTTTGTCTTGATATCTAGCTTTACAAAACAATGTGAAGGATTTGCTTTTCAGATTTTTTTTTTTTCCATTTTTAATTGAATACAAATCGTGCAGGAGAATTATGTGTATTTTTGATATCCTAAAGAAAATGGAGACTAAAATCATTCATCAAAACTTTACCAGCCATGAAGGCTTCACTAGGCCATTGTATTGGTTTATTAGGTAAGATAAAAAAAAAAATAAAAAAAATAAAAATAAAAAAAAGACTTTAAACGAATTATAACCAGCTTGCAAAATAACAAATATATTGTGTATGAGAAAATTAGCTCCATCTGATGTACACCAGCTACCATATGTAAAATGCCCATTATTTGTCCTGTCCCTTTGAAAATCATTTTATTGGAATGTATCAGTTAAACTAAAACACATGACCCTCCTTCTTGTGACATGAAAGAAACCACTGAAGAGAAGTCTTCCCCCTACCCCACCCCCACTCATGTGAACTTTCTGGGGGGAAAAAAGCAGCTTCAAGGATTTTTATCAATGTCTGCATAATGACAAGTGCATCACATGCATCCTGAACTATTAGCTGCCTACATCTGAAAGAATTTGGTCAACATTTAGGAATTCACTTAATGAAAGGCTGGCCTATTAAAGCTCTGCTAGCTTTGGAAGTTGATTGAGCCTTTCTTTTCAACTTCCTGCATCATTGTAAATGATGCTATGCAGTGCCCTCATGTGATATAGTCTAGACAACAAGCTTGCATTGTAACACCAAAAAAATCCAAGTACCAGGTGATACATTTCCGCTTGGAGATGCAACTATGCAATACAAGGCTCTTTACAAATCCCTACGTGAAATCCAGATTGAAAAAGTAACAGCTCCAAAAGGTATCTATTTATACTCTGGAGAGATAAAAAGACGACATTTCCCCTCATATGTTCACATGACACTTGAATCAACAGTTACAGAAACAAACAGTAAATGAGTAGAAAATTAAAAGGTAATGGGCTATATTTCCTCTGTCAGACCACTGAAATCAACTGAGACCAATTTTAGGTTGCTTAAGCTCTGGCCTTAATTTTTGGCTGAAACATGAATTTCCCTTTTCTACAACTTCCTTTTCTGTTACTTTTCTCTCTCTTGATGTTTTGAGACCAGTGTGAAATGGACTGCAAGAGCAGCGGGTGCTGCACTGGGCAGGCATTGCTACTTTATGATACCTGTTGATGAACATAAATGTGGAGGAACACATAACAGGATGGTATTAAAGGAAGAAACAGCATGAGGAGGACATATCAGCAGGGGATCCCACCAGTTGGTAGAGCACTCACCTTCATCCCAAACACAGCTATGTTGCCAGGTTTATGTGACAAGAAAGACACATTTTCTCAAAATTGCACAGAAACAGGTTTTCTTTTGATATGACCTCATTTTATTTCCATGTCTTTTGTGAGTGTCAGCACTACAAAACAATGTCAGATGGGCAGTGGCACTGGGGACTGGAATCATTAACAAAAATGTCTAATCTTGTCAGTTTTGGATTCGTAGGCAGAGTGTCCACAAATGAGGATGGGATTAGGCTCCTACTCCATAGGACAGGTAAAGCACAAGGAACAACATGCAAGAGTTATTCCCCTTCTGAGGCTTGGGAAGAGAGTTGTGTCACATGCATTTGGCACAGGGTCCCTCAATGAGACATCTGATGAATAGCTTATGAAATTACATTTATGAAATTAAATTTAATTTTAGAACAAAAGTACAGACAGCACACATTCCAGCTAATTTTTCTTTAGGCTCCAAGAACTGATTTTTTTTTTCCCCTCTATTTTGTTTCCCAAACTGATTACCTACTTAACTCCTCAAATAATTACCCCTGTTGACTTTGATCTATAGTTACTAGTGGAATAACACCTTCTTCTAGGAGGGCAGGGTGCCAGCTTCCTTCAAATGAAAGGTCTGGGTTTATGAAGTCATTTCATGATGATCTCACCAATTACCTTCTTGTCTCTGATCTTCTCTTTTGGGTAAGGTTATTGGGAAAGCTGAGTAAGGTAACTAGTCTCAGGATAAATTTATCCTCATCTATTGTAACTTGCTTTCAAAACTGGATGCAGCACAGAGACTTTATTGCTCCCTGTGGGGAAGAGCTCAACATAATGACACACAAGAGACAGGGCAAACATAGATGTCTAAGCACAGGCAAATGACAGCTTTTATATCAATGATCAGAAGATTTCCTCATGACTTGTACAAGCATTTGTGGGGAGGCAAGGTCATAGTGTTCTTGATTTGTTCTGCACCTCTCATTCAAAAGAAATCAACAACTACTACTAGTATCTGTCTAAACATCACCAGAAGCAGAGCCTTCTCCAAGATAAATTCCATTCAGCACACACAAGACCAATGACAAAGGATGTAAAAACACTCATCATGTTCACAGAATTGTGTCCATATTACCAGAACTAGGCTGCCAGTGGAATGCAGAAATTGCTCCTCATAAAACCCAGCAAACATCCAGCCTGTGATTTGGGGGTGAGGGGGTGTGTTAGCTAAAAATAGCGCAAGCAGTAATAATGGCTGGAATTGGACACTGGAGGGAGACACAGCTGCACACACTAAACCAAAGACACTCTTTCTTCTCCTTTCTTGAATGAGTATCGAGTGCATGCCCTAAGAAGGAAGCATGGAAGCCCCATCTTATCTGCCCACACCAGTAAGGAAAGAAATACAAAAAGAACGCGTTGGCCAGTTAATGAATCATAAAGCCCTACACTTTGTTGTTGGGGGAGAAGAAGCATGCAATTCCTGAATAAAGCCTGCAGAAATTCAGCATCAATGGTGTGGAACTGTTTTTTGAATCAAGCCCTGAGAACCCATCATGATTTGCATTCATGTAAACACCTACATTTTTTCGTTAACTGAACTGATTTAACTGCTAATTAAAACTAGTCAGTAAGCACAATGCAAAATTAATTAAACCATTTAGTGGGTAGATGCAAATGAGGCAAAGTTACAGCTTGGACGCAACCAAAATAAGTACAAGTACTACTCATCATCTGGCAAAATAGTTCTTGAGGTAAATACTTTCCCCAGAGATGATGTAAAGCAATAAAAAAAAAAAAATCGCTGACTACATATGATCTTTTATTGATAAAATATGCTGGAATCCAGCTTCTTCTCTTTGAAAGAGTGACAAATTGAGCTCTGTGGATTTAGAAAAGACTCTCCCATACAACAAACATTTCAGAGGAAAGTCTGGATCTCAATTCACTCCTCTCCTCAGACATTTAGAGTTGCTCCTGTCTGTCAATGGCAAGAATTTCACCTCCGTCTGGACCATATATTTTTGATGACTGTTTCTATGGCTTTACATTTTTGCAGGGGAAAGTATCTGCTTGGAGAACTATATTGTCTAATGTTAGGTGGAAGTAGTGTTTTCTGACATAAAAGGCCAGAAATGTGTGGCTCTGTATGCAATATCCCTGTTCTCTACTTCCTCTTTCCACAGTACCCATGTGCTTTACAATCCCAACTGTATTTATTATCCTAAGGCTGCCTTAGTAGAGGGACACACAGAGTCATCCAAATTGAATTAACTGTGAACTAAAATGAGTAAAATAAGCATTGGGCCCCAGAAAAGAGCCAAGACAGCCTATGGTGTGGTCCTCCTACACTTACTTTGTGGAAGCCTGGACCCATGGACAAGTGCAGTTCTATTGAGTCACCTGGGCTCATGGCCCGGTGCGTGGTAGCACTCAGGAGAGTTTCCTCAGGCAGGTTTGGATATGTAACAGGTATCTCAGTGAGGCATAACTCAGAGCTAAGTCAGATGTCTCCTATTAGGCAGTAAACCATCCTTCTGCTCTTTCCCTTCTCTCACCGCTCCACAAAAACACATTTGAGGACCCTCAGGCCAACAACATCCATCTCTGTGGCTCTATAGCCCCACCTGAGGCCATTAGGGAGGAAGGACAGTTCTGAGCTGTGGATCCTGCTCCCAGGACCTGATCCCGAATTTGTTTCCCCAACAGTTATCAAGCTGACCCCTGGAAGGACTTCCCAAGCAAAACACACAACTCCTGACTTCCCAGCAGTTAGGTGTGGACTGGCCAGGAAGACCAAGGCATTTCTAACAATGAGCAAAGCCTGACCTGTCAGCATCTGGAGATAGTTAAGATGAAGTAAAGCACCCATGGAGTTTAGAGACTGCATGAGCAGACAGTCTGCACTTCAGTCTGATCTAAAGCAACATGCCTGAGGCCTTGCAGAGAAGCAGGAAATGGCCCCCAAGCCTCCTGTCTCACCCCCACAGCCCACCAAACCCTCTGCTCTCAGACATCCCTGGTCTCCCCTGAACAGCGAGATGCAGCTGAGCACAGGGGGACTGCAACCTGCCACACCTGAACAAGTGGGGCTGGGTCCCCCACAGCTAGGTAGATAACCAGCCCTACCGCTGGCCCTAAAGCACCATGCAAAGCATCATCCAGATCATTTTGCAATCTGTATTACTAAATTGTTTTAACCCAGTAGGAAAAACTGAAAACAATAGCTTGTTTATTTTTTTGCTAAGAGGTCTGCCAGCCCCACACCTGATTGCTAGTTGGTTTGCATTTAATAAGTCTTCTGTTTCAGAGGCTACCACATCCATTCTCATTGCCATCGCTTTTATGACCCTCTATTTAAGAAGTCTTTTGTTTTCTTCACAGTTTTCTCAGGCACCCTCAGATGCTTTTTGGCCTTTAGCTGCTTCCATTCTAGTAAAAAACAAAACAAAACAAAAACACCATATGTTAAGGGGAAAAAAAGTGAACAAATAAGCATACTCTCTCTCCCTCAGACAACCCTGTAGAGGGACCAGGCCCAGGTCAGGTCATTATTTTAATATTCTCCTCGCCCTTCATTTCATGGCTTCCATTAATAACACATATACCCCACTCCTCAGGTGTTACAGGCAGTGTGTTGTTCATGATATGTTTCTCCTACTTCCACATAAACCACTAGGAGCCATGGGAGATGATATGTTGAAGAGCATGTGGAGCTTCTGCTAGAACAGCAACTCTTACACAAGACACCTGTTGTAGCTGTTGTGCACTATGCTGGCTGACTGTTAGCTTTGAGGCAAACCAAATGTAGTTATACTGTCAAAGGTATGCTACTTATCTGCATACTGCAAAGATGGAACTAATGCAAGCCAAAATAATTTTTCTTTTCTTTCTGTAAGTACCATTACTAATATATTTCACATGGTTAAAAATGCATTATATCCAGGGCTACTTCTTTAAATGTGTGTGCATAAATTTAACTTGGATACTGTTAAATATAATTTCAAGCAGCAGAAAAAAATGGCATTTTGAAAAAAAAAAAAAAAAAAGCATTTAAGCAGAAACAAATGCATTACAGTTAAAGTTTCATGAACAATGATAAGATTGCTTGGTAAAGCAGCTTAATAAAAACAGAACAGAAACAAAGGACTGTATACCTAAACTATGGCTGTGGGAGGCATCTTCAGCCTGTAAAATCCCCACTATAGCAAATACTTACTCCAAAACTGCCCCTTTTGAATGAAGAGGGCCACAAGGCAGGTTTTACTGAGCAGAACTATGCAGGTGAAAGAAGTTGGCTAGGGATGCTGAGGTGCAGCTGGTATCTCAGTTGTGGCACGATACAGTGCTCTGCAGCGTTACCTGGAGAAAAACCAGTGCTGAAAAACCTAGTTCAAATATCAAAAACAAGCTTCCTGCTGGCCCTGCTGCAGCACATAGCTGTCTAAGGCAGAAGGCTGCTGGAACCAGCCCAGTGGCTGCCTATTTAGCCTGTATGCCCAGTCTCCAGAAACCCAGGCTGCTGCTGCCACCACCACTGAAGGAGGAATCAGCATGCATGGGGTTTTCAGGACACCAAGATCATCATCCCTGTAGCAAATGTTACTTTCTTCGCTCTTCCCAACACATCCCACAGGCTAATACAGTAATCCATTCTGGCTCTCCTGTTTTCCCTTCCTTGTGCCTGGTGCCTCTAGAATGCCCCTTCTTGCTTTTGCTTACACAGCTGAGATGGATCTAGGAAGCCGAAGACATTAACTCTGGCTAAGTCCCACACCACTGTGGTTTTTCGAGGGTTCAAGCTAGTGCAACAGGGCTGCACATCACTGTATTGTGCTGTGTAGATACATGCACTGAATTTGTCACCTCATTATCTGCAAGGAACAGGACTGTGACAGCCATTTGAGCAATTGCCTTTCTACCAACCCAAAATATGTATTATTTAGTTCAAACGTTCTTTGAAGTAAGGATTGTCCTCTATTGTATACCTGCATGGTGCCCTGCTGAATAGAGACTGGCTTTTGGTCAGTGCCTCAAGGTAGTTCTGTAACACAAATGATTATTCATAATAAAATAAATATAATAGCTCACATCAAATGTCTAATGATACTGTTCAAGGGATCCTGGGGGTGTTTCTAAAATGTGTTCTTATCATATTAAAAATGTAGGATCCGGGTATAATTTCATTCCCTTTTACAGTACTTTAGATGACCAAGAGGCTATTTTCTCCTTGTTCCATCCACTTAAAATCCTATGAGTATTGCAGAGGGAACAAGCAGAGGCTAAAAGCTGTACATACGATTATATGAATCTACATTTTATTACAAACACTCCTATCTCCATCCCTCTCCCTGTGCCAGAATAGTATTACATGGGTTGCAAAATCAAGCATTCAGAAATTAGGAAGTTCAGATTGTCTCCACAGATCTAATTCAGCCACACTATTTATATGTATTACAACAGCATGCAAGTAATTACAGACTATTATTATCAAGTGAATTTCACCTTATTCAGAGCAGACTGGATGGTGCACATTTAATGAGTGACTTTGCAATGCTCTTTCTCCTCAGTGTGTGGTCCACAACTCTATGGTTGGCACCCTATCTAGATCTTCAAATGATTTCTTCACAGTCTTTCCGGTACCTTCATCATTGTTGTACCCCAGTGCTTTACAGGTATCAATGTATTTATTTTCACAGCATCCTGGTGTGATAGCAATTGATTATCTCCATTTTACAAATGAGGAAGTGGGACACAGTAAGACTGAAATCAAAAGTGTAACCTCATTCCAGATACCCAGTCTGAAATGCCACTGTTTTTTTTACAGATCTTTTCAAGTGCAGAGTACTGCCATTTACATACATGTCTAAGCACAACATGATTCTTCCTGACCTCTACTCTTGGGTAGACAAAAGAAAAAAGACACCATGATCAGAAATCATCCCCAAAAAACAACTTGCCTGAGGTCAAAAGGAAATCTGGTAGTAAGAGTAGAGAAGAAACCCCCACAATCCAGGCAAAGTTTAAGTGCTTTTACCATGAGAATAATGTTTTCCACCTGCACCCTTCAGACCTATCAGACAAGCTATGGAGCAAGGGTTCCCCAGACAACTGTCTCCTCCATTACACAACCTTGATTCAGTCCCATCCCATCAAGTAACTTAAATAATGAAGAGCCCTACTGCTCCACCCATAATTATGAAGTGAACTTCCACATATAATCTCAAACACAGGGGCTTATGGAATATTACCGAGGCATACAAAACAAGTTCAAGTTAAAACACTGGCAGATTTATTTGCTCCAGAAGAAAAGAAGCCATGTACACTAAATTTAATACAAGACAGTAGCAAACAGAAAGGTTGGCTATGGAACATATAAAAGGAATAACCACTATATGAGATTTTCTCACTGGCCCATATTTTGTGGAAAACAGAAGATGTGCATTAGAGAGAACACAACTCAGATCATCACTTTTCTCATTGTATATAGCAGTAAGATATTCATATCAAAATCATTTAACATACATTTTTCAGTGAAGCTACAACGTGTTTTTGCTTTGAAATGTGTCTACCCACATTTGCTATTTCTTGGAGTGCAGAGCATCGCATCTGAATGCTGGTACTGGGTCCCCATGCCATCAGTGAGTCTTGGATCCCCACAAGGCAGGAGCAACAGAGATCCCCAGGGGGGTGGTAAATATGCCTGAGCTGCACCTTACCAGCACTGCCACCCAGTTCTGTGGTGCCCTGGCACCACAGGGTATCACTATAGGTGTACACCCACAGGAGTCAATAACTGTCTGTCTGCACTACCTGTGTGATAAACTACACTGGCAACTTTTAATTACCTGCAGATGGGGTGGGAATGTGTGGGGAAGTTGCTGTCTTATAAAATAAATTATACCCTCCCCTTCCTTTTTCCCTTTCATGCCTGAGGTGACTTATTCTGGCTACTGACAACATTAGGTCCAGGATTTCCTAAGCCTACTATCAGGGGGACACTCCTGAAAATTATGTACATTTTAGCAATATTTTGGATAGATTTCTTCCAGTTTGGAGCCTTCAACTTTGATCAAACATTGTGTACATTGGCTCAATGGAAAGTGATGTGGGATCAGACCTGTCACTAAGCGCAGCAGTGGTTTTCTTCTTCTGCCCACTCAACAACATATTTTTGTTTAGTCTGATACCATCAGGCTTTATGAAGAAAAATCTAACTGCCTACTCAAGTCAGTGAAAGGAGAATAATAAAAAATGCACTAAGAGTGAATAGGATTTTTTTTCCCTAGAGATAGATTTTTTTTTTCAGTCATTTTTTTTTTTTCAGTCAATATTCTAATTTTTTAAAACTTTAAATCACAGACCAATTGCAACAGTTGATACAGAGCACTGAAGAACTATAGAAGCAGCAGAGGTGAAGGCCTCATTGTGGATAAAGTTAAGTGCACAGGTAACATTTTTTTAAAGTCAGGATCCCTCCATGATAAACTATACTGAATGTTCATTTGCATTTATCATTTCAGAAAATTTGAGCAGCCTTTTTGCTGGGTAGAGGACCTGACATGGTGATTCTCCGCTACCCAGCCTCAGTTTTTATAATGCATTGGTTCCTCTCTGCAATTTGGTTGATGTCCCAACTCCCAAGTTCAACAGTCTCTACAGGAGTGATTGATGGATGCAGAGGACTTGGAGCTCCTTAAGGAGACAAGCCACAAACATAAACTGCCAGGCAAACTACATGTTGATAAAAAGTATTAGGATTAAAAACTTGCAAATATCTGAAACTGGAGAAAATATGTACCCAAAAGCACAGCAGAGCCAGTATGCTGAAACAACATATGCAATTGCTTGAGTAAATACCAAGAGGAGAGAATTTTGTATACCATCTAGAGCACACCATAAAAAATAAAAAAATAAAAAACTTTTTCTGAAAAAAAAAAATATTCCTTTTAGTTTCCATGACACCACAAATTTGCCATCTGTTATATGGAAGTTTGTTTTTCCCTTTCATTGTAATTAACTTTTTATTGAATTAATTACTCCAGGTGAGCTGGAAGCGGCTGTTCTACCTCACCTGGTGTGGTATACCCACGCCCAGCCTTGCCATTCACCATTCAGATGCAAATTGTCCCATTCCCCACATGAAATCATTGGCATTCACCCAAAAAGCCTGCTAGCTACAAAAAAACAATAACATGGCAGGCAGCTGCTGCCACACAGAAGGGAAAAAAAAAAAAAAGTTTTAGAAAAAAAGGACATATATTCCCTGCTTGGTCATTTAAAGATGAGTATCCTACTGAATAAAGCAGATGAGAAAATATCCTAGATAAAGGATATTTATCAGTGAATTTTAAATAAATTAGACATGGCACCTACAGATCACTGACCCTTTTCCTACATAAGAATGAATATTTTAGCTACCTTGATTCATTATACATGCACGTATTTGTCTGAATAGATGTATATACAAATGTACAAACAATGAATCAAACCTATCAGGAAATTAGGACAAAGTAGTGAGCTCAACTGGATTATCAAGGAGTTATTTTAATCGCAATAACATCATAATCAAGCATGCAGAAAAGTAGGAGTCCTCATTTAAATATCCTCTGTCTGGAGATCATGAATGAATTCCATCCATGTTTTTAAAAAGTAGGACACAAAAAGTAAAAAAAAAAAAAAAAAAAAAAAAAAAAAAAAAAGTTTATTAAAAAAAAGTAAGTTTATTAAGATAAAGTAACATATTGCATACACTATTCTCTCCCCATAAGAAAGCAAAAAAATAATAATCTCTTTTTAGGTTTCAGTCATTTAATCTATTTATTAAGTGTTCCATTGGTAAAGATCAGTAGAATAGAAAAGAAGTGAATCAAATCAAATGGAGTTGTAAACATGGTAATGGAAGCCAGATCCTTATGGGCAGATGATTACCATGTCATGTCACAGAATCTATATTTGTTAAGAGTTTATTGAGACACTGTGGCAGTTTTCACAACAAGGATGGCTTCCACCTCTCAGTGGTACCCAGGTATGTGCAGAGCCCACTACACCAATGTGGCCTTCATTATCCTTGAGACAGCACACACTGTTCCTTTTTCTGCAGTACCTACAAAGTCAGTACCCGCTCATGTGTTTTTCCCTTTTACAGCTTTGATGTACATGTATTTTTCCCCTTCCTCTTTACAAAGCTATTCAAAGCCTAGGTTAAAGCTCACCCTGCTGAGAGCCAGATGCAGGGATGAGGGCCCTATTAACTGAAGTACTGACTTGTTCATAGACAGCAACAGAAGCAACAAAATAGGATTGTGCAGCATAGGCATACATGTCATTACTGTTAGTAAAGTAATTACAGATTTGGCACTAGGCAGGCTTTCTGCTTGCCAAAGCACTGGATGGAAGTTTAAGAAGCAAATGATTACCTCTACTCAGGGCAAAGCTGGTCAGTCAATCTGATATCAATTCCTCTGAAGCAGCAGCACAAGACTGTGGTTGACTTCTGTGAGAGCACGCAGGTTTCACTTAGCTGAAACCCATTTCTGAGCATATCTATCCTGAAACCACATGACTCTTGGAGGCAGTGAGCTCCAGTGACTCACTAGTAACAGTAAGTTCATAATAAGATACTTTTCTGGTCAGAATGCGGAAGGCAAAAAAAATCTCAAAATACAGTCAGGAGAAGCTCTAATTCAAACAGTCTACATACAGTATTAGTACTGCCTAACCACATTTCTGGATAACTTGTATGCTTTCCTGAGTGCTGTTGCAGAGCTCAGGTTTTGCAAGGTATTGTCCCAGTCACCATTTCCTTTATTTGGTGCTTTGACATTGACAGTAGAATAACAGCTGCCCCAAATTTGCCGTTGGGAAAAGAGTTGTATATTGATCCCATTATATTTCAGAACATCAGTAAATCCATATATAGTAATAAGATGTTGTTTTTATTGCTGCTATTATTTGTTCTACAGTAGAACCTGAGATGAGAGTCAATCGTGGGGCAGGAGTCAGCCATGCCCAGTAGGCTAAGAGCAAGAAAATATGTTCTTATACCTAAAAACTTACAGTTACTCTCACTTTCTGTATATGATAATAGTACTAAAGTGTATTTTGAAAGTTCTTGCTACTGACTAGAAGGTTCTTTCTTGTTACTGGCTGGAACTTTTTTAAATTTTTGAGGCATTTAACATGTGATCAGAAATCAGAAACATATGTGAAAGACCAAATCTGTGACAGAAAATATATGGAAGAGATATCAGATATGAAGGAGAACTGTAGACAGCTCGATTGTGGAATGACACTAATGCAATATACTGTTGCTGGAAGCCAAGCCAGTATCTCAAACGCTGTAATGAGCAGTGTGGACATTGCAGCTCAGGGCAGAAACAATTTCATCACCTCTGCACCACATCATTGCACAGTGCAAACATCCCAAAGAAGTCAGTGTAGAGCCAGTCAGCACAACACCAGATTGGAAGGACTCTCACCTGGCCAAGAAGCCTTAAGTGGCTGTGCAAGGGAAAGGAATGACACAAGGAAGAGCGGCCCCTACCACGCGCACATGAAAACTCTTACATGCTTCATATTTGTCCTTTGCTGCCCAAGCCTATCCATACTAGTTATTTGTGCCTTCATTTCTTTTGAGAAGATTAATCATTTGAAGCAAATTCTATATTGAAAGTGATCAAGCAGGTGTTTAGGTGGTGGATAG